GGTGAGTCCCGGCCCGGCTCCGGGGGAAGCAGCTTTGCCGCCCTCCGCAGCCCTCGCACCGGGTTCCCCTGTGGTGTCTCGCAGCCCCCCTCCCGCTTGCTTGTATCCGTCCCTTCCCATCCTCCTGGGTGTCCTTCTGGTGTCCCCTGCTTAAACACAGCCTGATCTGTGGAAGCACCCCTATCCCTGAGCTGTAGCGGTGGCTCTTTCTCCCCGGGCCTTGCTAATCCCGCCGTGTTCCTCCTTGTGTGCTGCCTGGATGAGCAGCTGATGTGTTTTGTCCCACTCTGCTCTGACCTAGAGGAGTATCACAAGAAGAAGGCTGTGAATCACTTGAGAGCAAACCTGCGGTACATGTTGAAGGGGCGATTTGTTGCAAGCAAAGCCATCACAGAACAAGTAAGACTGTTACTTCTTTCTTTGGGGGTCTGCTTCTGCTGAGTAACACAGGTGAATGGGAATCATCCTCAGGTCTTCCAGCTCAGACCCTGTGCAAAGGAGGGATGTTAAGTTTCTGTCTGGAAGTGGCCTTGAGGAATTTCTGCGTGCACTGGCAAAACAACTTACAAAGCTTTAAACTCTTGTTGACATATTGTCCCCTATGATGTTCTCTGATATTAGTTAAAATCTACTGACAACTGTTGGCTTTTCTTTATTACCAAAGATATTTTATAGCTTCAGCTGGCAAAGAAGCCCTGGTTCAGACCTTCTCCTTACTGTTGGTCAAACTGTGCTTCTCTGTAGTTGGAGGCTGTTTAGTAAGGAACCAGATGTGCTGCTGGCTCATGTAATAGGAATTTCATAGCATCTTGAATCATGTTTCTCATAACCTGAGAATTTAACCAGTGGTCTTCCCCTAAATGTAGTCACATGTCAGGATTTGAAGAGGGGAATAGCTGACACTGTTAGAATGATGGGCTGTTTTTATGAGATACAGGCTTTTAACTTAAATAAACAAACCGGGTGGTTTCAGCCAGCGTTTCTTAGGCTGTAAGTTGTGGAAGGAGGTGACAGAGTATTAGAAAATGCTGAGGAAATTCCACCAACTTGTTGGGTTTTCAGGTTGTCTCGTGGAGAGACACGATAGACGAAGGTTGCAGTTTCAGAAAGGTCTGAATTGAAGCCAGTGTTTCTCTCTCTGTGACAGTTACCTGAGTGTAGTTTTCACATTTGACTCCAAATAGTAAGTTGGTATTTACTGTTGTCCCAGTGATCTGCTTTGATTAGCACCAGTGATTGCCTCTCACTTTCCTTTGGAGGCATTCCAGGATACAGCAGGGTACTAGCAGAATAGCAAGGATGCTGCAAGTGAGCTTGAAAATCACTGTTTTGTTGTTTGGTCTGGATAACAATTACTGGGTTTTTTTTCCTTTTTTATTGTCTGAAGGTTCTTGCTCAGAACAGAGGCAGGAAGTCCAAAGATCAGCCTCCAAAGAAGGCAGCAAAGAAGAAGCCCGAGGGCACTGTCTTTACTGAGGAAGATTTCCGTAAATTTGAGAGAGAATATTTTGGAAGACCATAAACAACATGACGGGGATTATTGCAGCTCCAGTCTTCCTGCAGCTGCGTGCTCAGCACACAGGACTGGCCACTTCCTCGACATGTTTGAGATGGGACACAGGAGATGTCACTCAGGCAGCAAGTGCTTTGATGTCAAACTGGCAGAGAAACTCTGTGCAGAACTTGTAACTGACCAGCTACAGACATGGGGTTCTCTTGGCTCTGAGGTGTGTTGTCCTTATAACCTCCAGCCAACGTCTTGCATTCTTAATATAGAAGGGTGGACCAAGCCAAATATAAATCTTGTCCTCCTTCCTCAGGATATAAGGTTTCTGCTACCCGTGTTATTTGGCAGGGAGCTTTGAAATACTATATCTGAATGGAGAAATGCTTTGGACCAGCAGTAATAAATCATCCGAAGGGAAGGAAGCTTTAAAAGACTGTTAAACTGGAGTAGCCCTGCAGTTTCTGTTCTTATGACAGCCTCTGTCAGGTTTTGCAGTCATTGCAAAAATTTTGTGTATGTGTTTGATTAAATAATTGTTGTGGTCACTGCCTCTCTTTGCCTTTGTAATAGTGATTATTGTGACAGGCTACAGCTGATGAAGACAAACCACATCACTGTTCTGATCCAAGCATCCCTCTCTTAGGATGACTCAGTTGTGTGAATGGCCTCTCTGATTCATGTTGACACATCATGCATTTAAACTTCTCTCTGACATGCTCAGGCCTTTAAAGAGTGCAAGGTTGGAACGGAGATGATTCCTCTGTGTTTGGCCTGCCCATGGTCTCTCCGTGGAAGAGCTCTTACATGGAGAAAGTTGTCCTTTGGATGCTGACACCTGAGCCTCCCACTGAGGTTCAGCCATGCTGGGAGGGCACTGCTCCTGGGTGCTGCCAGCTCCTGCTGCCAGGAGGGGCTGTGACCCAGATGGTAGCCTCAGCATGAAGTTGAAATCTTCTAAGCCGGAGGTTGTGGTGCTGGATCGAAGGGAAATTTTCTCTCTGTCTCCTCCTAAATTCCCGTCTGCAACAAATCGAAGGCCCAGCAGGTGGGAGTGTTGTACCAGAGAATTCCTCCTAAACCACTAAATGTCCTGGGGAGCTCCTGCCACTTCCCTTTTCTGGCCCTTGCCGAACAAGATGGGAAGTGTGTTCCCTTTGGAAAGAAGGGGGATAAGAAGAAGGACTAATGACGAGCTTTGGTTAAACTCAGGAGTTAATTATAAGGAGCTTGGCTGAGCTGAGCGGCAGCTCCTTAGATGTCAGCACTAGCAGGAATTTGGTTTCCTTTTTCTGCCCTCTGATTGTAATTCCTGGTGCTGTCCTCTGAAGTCTGTGCCTCCTCTGTTGTGTTCTTTCCCTTTTGTCTGCATGGGAGGGAAGATCACCCAGATGTACAAGGTCCAGACAGGGGAAATAGTGAACATACTGAACTATGGAACTGGAAATTGTGTAATAGCACATGGGAGGAGATTTCTTGTAATAGGATCAAGTTCAACCATCTGCAGCCAAAAGTGGAAAATATAGAACAGTTCAAAGACCAGTTCCCTTCTTTTTCAGTTTGTTCTTGCTCCCAAAAGTGAAAAAGACATAAAAAAAGAGAATGACTGTTTGTTTCTTAACAGAATGGAAGCACTAATGTTTGAAAATGCATACGTGGCACATGTCTTCCTAAAACCTCTGCACTCTGTGCCTGTTGCAGTGTGCCTGAGCTGCTGGAGTACACACAGTTCTGTGTGGAGCTGTCATGGAGACTAGTAACTGTAGAAAAGCTGGCTTGTTATAACTTGACTTTTGAAAGAGGTAGATTTCTGGGGTGTTACTTTGTTTCGAGCCCTAATCTTCAGTATTTGGCAGTTCCTTTGACCTTACAGACATCCTTCATGTCTCCCCTCTACCAGTTCCTCCTACACACCCTTATTTATGTGGTTGTTCAGCTCCTGGGCCTGTCTTCTGCAGGCTGAGGAAAGCAAAACCCTCCTTTGTTGTTCCAGGATGGAGCAGTAGGGTTATGCGGTTTACTCTCTTTGTACAAAACCCAGCTTGTTTGTTTGCAAATGTAAGCGAACAGGACAGCTGTTCTTTCAAAGTTAATGAGGAACTTTAAAGTGGAGCCCAGAGCAGTTTTCCCCAAGGATAATAACACTCAGATCTGTGCAGTTCTAAAGTTGGATGGCTGAAAAAATATTAGGGGTAGTACAAGTAACCAACGTACTTCTTGTGGCTATATGCCATGAGACGTTAGATTGTTGAAGAGAGTAAAGCTACCTGAGAGACTGAATTTTGCCATCTGAAGTCAAACTTGGTTGTACAGCCAACAGTATCCTTAAATAAATTAAACTTTATTTTGCAGGTGGAAGGAAAAGTAAGGAGAAGTGAACAAGTAGCTCTAGATAAAACATCTTCTGCAAGGGCAAAGATCTGACATGTTGTAGCCTTGATTTTCCCCGTCTCTAGCAGAGCAGGAACTCCTACGAAAAGAACAGCAGTGCCACCTGCACGCTGGGTAGATAGATAAGGACAGGAGTTGGCACCTGAGGGGAATGTCTTCAAGCTAGAGGGGACAATAGGTACCAGCCTGTTGCATGTGCCTGGTGGTAAGCTAAAGCTAAGCAACTTCTCTTACTCCCAACTGTCTATGCTATGGTCTAGTCACACCTAGAGCAGGCCAGCTCCTCAGCTGTGCTGAGACCCCAGGAGGTCTCAGCAATCTTAGAGCAATTTGTGCCATCTGTCTGTCCTTTGCAGCCAGACTTTTCTGCCCCACGTCAGAGAGAAGAGGGGGTTAGGGAAGGAGCAGCTGCCATAGCTGCTTTTCCTAGCTGGCTTCCGACCTCCCTTTCCCATGCTGGAAGCTAACATGCTGCAGCCCAGAACCCTCGGACCTGCCGGATGGCATTTCTCTCCTGCACAGCTGCTTGTGGCAGTGCAGGGAAGCGTCCTGCTGCTGCAGGGCGAGGGCTGCGTGCTGGCTGAGCTCATCGGGCTGCTGGCTCTCTTCCCAGCTCTGCGACACCAGCTGAGCATCCTGCAGCAGAAAATAGAGATAGCTGAGCTAGGGAAGAAGGAGGAGGGTGCCATCTTACAGTGCATCCCCACCCACATGCAGCAGGGATTCAGAATGGGAGGCAGCAGCAGCTTTAATATAAATGCAAATAAAAGCTCTGGAGTGTTATTAATGTGGTAGAACCTTTCCAGGGAAACAGTTAAGAAGAGGCAGAATAGTTCCCAGATGCTCAGTGTTGAGCTAGTTTATTTTGAATAAGATTCATCAAGCCGGTTAATGGCCTATTGCTCCCTCGTTATGTGAATGGAAAGCAAACAGGAAAATTTGTTCGGACAGGTACAAGCTAACATAAGCTGATACAGTCGCTGCTGTATCAGCAAGTCTTTGCTTCTTTACTGCAGAAAGCAACAACAGCTAATATCAGTATTATATGCGTATCGGGAGCGGGGAGGACTGCAAATGTAAACCAAGAAAATGTGGTTGCCCAGGACACCAACCAGCTTCCTGCCTCTGAAACGACATAGCTGTAACAAACCTGTCTGCGAATGAACAAGGACAGACTGTAAAACTTGCTCAAGCAAACAAGACTTGAAATGCTGAAAAAGCTGTTGGGGAAAAGCTGTTGGGGGGTGGGGTCCTGAAACCTTGGGAATCTCAATCTCTGCTTTTCTTTTCATTAATAAGTTCCATTTCAGTCTTGCTGATGACCAACACAGCATCAGCACCTACAACACTGATGGGCTCCTCAACACCTTGAGTAAGGAAGGGACTGGTGATTGTATAAAGAGTTCACAAGCAGCAGCACCCTGAATAATTCACAAAAGAAAAGTTACAGCAGAAGGAAGTTTCTCATTTTGAAACAAGACAACCCATCAATTCAACTAAAAATGAGGAGTGTAAAAGATGGCAAGTTGCCTAATGCCTGCTTACAGTTCAAAATGTGGAACTCCAGCCAAGGCAGGCTGAAGGGTTAGTAGGTTTGAGACGGTTTAAAGGTTTGCTCATGTCTATCCATAGTTATATTAAAAAGGATTAACAGTGCCAACCACTAACTGGTGGGGGCAGGGGAAATACAAAGCATGAAGGTTGCTCTGCAGCTGTCCACAGGGTTACACGCCCCTTTTTCTGAACGAATTAGCTGTTGGCAGGGCTAACCAGTAATCTAGCCAAGCTGGTCTGTCCTGCACTGCACTGTTTGCATGCCAGCAAGTTCATTTATCTCCTTTAATGGGAGGCAAAGACTAGGTCTCTTTCTCCAACACTCCATGCAGTGCAATGGAGGTGCAGATGAGTTAGAGAACTAGGAGATTCTCTGCCCTATATAAATTAAGCTGACACATCTGCTGCGCTTGGAACTCACTCCCTGCCATTTTGTAAAAGGGTGTGTACGTGTGAAAGAGAGGAAAAGAGCAGCTGAAGGAGAAATGAGAGGCGACTAGCCATTACTTGAAAAACATGCACCTATGTAACAGGGAAATTGGAGCTTGTGGGTTGAGCTACCTTCATTCAGTGGCTTGTGACGCTGCATGAGTGCACTGCAAATAATGCAAAGACAGCATACCTGGGATACCTGAGCAGCCAAAGTAGTATTGCCTAGGTCAGGGGACCGAACTCCTCTGTTAATTCACAAGGCCTGGCTAAACAGCCTGAAGCATTTCAATGGGAAAGTCAGCAAAGATGAGCTTTTCTGGCCCAGCAGGGCACGCTCATGGTAAGACCCCAAGCCTGTCTTTGCACTGGAAATGAAGTGTAACAGTACCTGTGCTGGTCTGCACAGCAAGGCTGTGAATACATCAGGAGGATGGAGGAAAGTAGGTTGTCTCCAGAACCTACTTGGATTGTATTAAGAAAAAAATATAGTATACACAAGATGGAAATCATGCATCTAGGAAGGACACTATAGATCATGTTGTTTCTGAAGGCCTAAGCCTATGGAAAGATAAAGAAAACCCGTGTTATTCTGAGAGAAAATATACAGATTTCCCACCCCCAAAAAAGGCTTTCTGAATTAG